TATATACAACAATGCAGAGACTATGCTAGTGAAACCCTATGTACCTATCACCCAGATTCAATGATTATCAACTCATTGAATCTTTTTTCTGCTCTTCTACTTCCTCCTTCACCTTGGATTATTTTTGAACTATTCTATATATATATATTGCAAATTAGGCCAGGAAACCATAATGGGTCAGGACCATACAGGAGGAGGTTGCGCGCAGCAACAAGGGTGGGGCGGAACTGGGGACTGGCTCCCTTAGTAGTCCTGCAGGGTCAATCTCAAGAGGACAGGCAAGGTACCAATGGACCAGTGCTGCCAGCATGATCCCAACAGCACTGCCAGCCTCCTGGAACTTGGCCTAGGGCACTGAGGCTGCTTCCCCTTCCTTAGACAGGCTCCCTTAGTAGTCCTGCAGATTGAATCTGAAGTGGACAGACCAGGCACCAACAGACATGAATGTGAGCAGACAGAAGGAAAAAAGACCTTCAAGGCCTGTCCAAGGTGGATTTGCATTTAAAACCAAGTGGGATGGGTCTGGAGCTGAACAGCACTGACAACCATGGCAGTCTCCCTGTCGGCAGCATGACTGAGGCTAGGAGTGTGAGGAGTGAGGGCCATGAAAGCTGGAGGCCTTGGCTGCGAACAGTCAGCTAATTTCAGCTCCCAGGCAGGCACGATCAGGGAAGCCGGTGGAGCCTTTGCAAAAAAAAAAAAGAGAACGCTGAAGAGGAACGATACTTCAAAAAGTAGACTAAAGAATAGCTGGAAGCCTTGAAGAAACAACATGAAGAAATCACTCATCATAAAAAGGAGATTGAGCATCTGCAGAAAGAAATTGAGCAGCACAAGAAGAACATCAAGAAACTGAAAGATCATGATACTGCGGTGGTGTCAGGGTGAGGGACAGCCATATTTGCCAGTGCAGCCTGAACTGTCAACAACAAAAAGTGTGCTGGAGTTCAGCAGACACATGGATGCGTGCACGGATGCCAGGCCACCCGCCACGGGGGGGGGGGAGGGCGCGAGTTGGAGGGGAATGTCTTACTAACTGAACTTGACCACACACATGCCCACCGCTTCCCTCAATGCCACTGGGAGCGTCCACCTACCTTCCACCAACATGGCAACGTCCTCCCAGTACCGCCAGCTGCTGAGTGACTAGAACCACCATCTCTAGGCTACACGTAGGGGACAGAGAACAGCCAGGATCCCAGAGAAAATATGTGAGCTGTTGGCAATTATCAAAGAGCTGGGAAGGAGGTCAGACCCACGTACACGGGCAGCAAGAGTGCGATGGAGATACTGAAGCGAGGCATCATCCACATGACAGGGCTGGTTCAGGAGTACTTGGCTGAGATGGAGTGGAACACCAGGTCCTAGCCCCTGAATCAGCGTGAAAAGCTTTCCATCTTCTTCCAAGAAGTGACAGCTCATTGCCCCCTGCCTCCCTTCAGATGAAACTTGGTTTCAAAATGGTAACAGCTTGGTTTCTCCTCCCCGTGTCCCTCCCGTGGTTCATCAGGCTCTGAACCTCCCATCGCTAAGATGGAGAAGAGATTTTTGCAGTTATTAGATTTACATATTAGTTAGGAACTACCCAGGGCATTTTGTGTGTTTTTTTAAAGCATTGATTTACATGATGCGTGTCAGTTATCTATAACAGCAAACTGTAGTTGGCCTTGCAGATACCGGTGTTTCTCTTCGGGATATATTTCTGTTCCTCACATGGTTCTTTATGTCTCTCTTCTGAGCTGATCCAACTCTGAGGGTTTGTTTCAGTGAGTCCCGAGGCAGCGCTTTAGTAGCCAGTGCCTGTTCACCACACAGTATAAATTCTGCTCAATGTAACGTTCTTTTTTTTTTTTGCTTAAGCATTTGCATGAATATTAGTACTTTGAAGTTGATCTTTAAAATGCACAAGTTTCCAGATCTTAGCTATGGTGAATAGTGCTGCTATGAACATAGGGGTGCATATATCCTTTCTGATTGGTGTTTCTGGTTTCTTGGAATATATTCCTAGACACTGGGGGATAGGGGAGGCTAGGGGACTGTCTAGGGTGGGGGGAAAAATGGACACATATGTAATACCCTTTGTAATACTTTAAGCAATAAAAATTAAAAAAAAAGAAATGAAACTTCATTGTCATATAAGAAACTTAAAAAAAATAAAATGCACAAGTTATAAATACAGAAGAAAGAGCATATTATGAAACTTTTCCTGACAAGGACCCCTGAAATTTCCCCTAAGGATGTATGTAGATTTCAGTTCCGCCTTTCCCATCAGTGGATCCAAAGATCTGGAAGAAAGTGACTAATACTGTTTGCATCTTGTATGTATTTATTACTTGATGTAATAAAGCTTATTTTTATTAACAACAACAACAACAACAAAAAAGCAAATTGAAAGATCATGCTGATGCTTAAGTGCACACAGTTCCCCACAGAATGGCTACATACTATCCACTTCTATGAAGACATAGTTCTGGTAACTAATATCTATCTTTGCTGCCAACAGATTATAATAAATTGTGATCAGTGGAGAAAAAAAAACAAGTGGGGTGATGTCAGAATTACCCAAGCACGCCCCCAACCCCTTTACCTGCCCAGATGCCTAGGGTCCCTTTACAGCTGGGCTGAGCCCAGGGCTGCCCAGTGGCCTGGACACCAGGCCTGACAGCCTCTCTGGCTTGACTCAAACATCTAAAGTTCACATTAGTTGCCAACTTAAGAAATTGGAGCATTCACCTAAAATCAGGATTCCCCATTTCTCTTTCCAAGGGGGTTGATTGGGCTACCAACCAAGGGTGGTTGGTGTCACTTCAACTTTAAGAGGAACACCCAGCTTGGGGGTGTGGTGAGGAGGAAGCTATCTGTACAGACAGTTCAGTTGTGTAAACTCCCACTGACAGTGGCCCAGCCCAACAGTGTGGCAGCTCAACTGCGAGGCAGCACAGCCATGAAACAGTCTGGCTGTTAAACAAGGTCCCTCTCCAGCTTTCAGGGGACTTCACCTAGTCCAACCCACTGCACTCCACTCGGCCCTGAGCTGTCCAGTGCACCACACTCTGCCACAGTGAGACAGCTTCAATGTTTCAGCTCCAGCAGACAGAACACATCCCAGCGGAAAGGGAAAGTGTAGCCCTGGCCAGTGTTGCTCAGTGGATAGAGCCTCTGCCTAAGGACTGAAGCGCCCGGGTTCAATTCCTGGTCAGGGCACATGCCTGGGTTGTGGGCTTGATCCCCAATGTGGGGCGTGCAGGAGGCAGCCAATCAAGGATTCTCTCTCATCATTGAGGTTTCTATTTCCCTCCCTCTCTGAAATTAATCTATACTAATAAAAGAGTAATATGATAATAACTTCTGGAAGACTTTCCAGATGTCCTTTCGGACAAAGCCATGGTGGCGTGGCCAAGGCAGAGATGGTTAGGGGCAATAAGGTCAGCAGGGGAGAGCAATTACGGGGATCAGGCCAACAAGGGAGAGCAATTAGGGAGAACAGGCCGGCAGGTGGGTGAGCAGTTAGGAGCCAGAGGTCCCAGATTGCGAGAGGGTGCAGGCTGGGCTGAGGGACCGCCCCCCCCCATGCATGAATTTCATACATCAGGCCACTAGTTTTTAATAAAACAATGGTATTTGCAATGTAGCATATCTTGTCCTCTGGAAAATGTACCATAGAGGAATAGATGAAAATAGAAAACATGAGGCTAGACCTCCTATGTCTGCTGCCATCTTTAATCATAGGTTGGATGTTAGGAATTCAGAAGATAAAACACACACACACACACACACACACACACACACACACTGAAGAATTAAAATACTTTTATTACAGAGTAAAATTTGTTTTAAAACAAATAATTAACTATTTTTTAATGTATTTCTTAATTATTTAGGAAATCATCATCTGGGAAAGAAAGGCAAAGATTGTCAGTCAGAAACTAAGTTGGAAGCAAGAAGGGCTGTAACCAAATAGCGAGTTTCCATAGCCACTTATTTAAGATTCCTAAAATGTTGTAATTCAGATTAAAGAAAGAATAACGTGTCATTATATAGGAAAGTTATTTTTCTGTAATTCTCTCTTGATTTTTTGGAAAAACAGCTATATCCCTCCACATAAAACAGGCAAAAGATTTATGAACTCTGTTCAACATTCTATGGCATGCTGTCTGAAATTCACAGGCTTGAACAAATGAATAAATATTCATTAAATATGCTTTCCTCTTTTTCCTAGGTACCTCCCATACTCCTCGATAAGCAGTTCTCTGAATTCACTCCGGACATTACACCAATCATCTTGGCAGCCCACACAAATAATTATGAGATAATAAAACTTTTAGTTCAGAAAGGAGTCTCGGTGCCCAGACCCCATGAGGTCCGCTGTAACTGTGTTGAATGTGTCTCCAGTTCAGATGTGGACAGCCTTCGTCACTCACGCTCCAGACTCAATATCTACAAGGCCTTGGCTAGCCCTTCTCTCATTGCACTGTCAAGTGAAGATCCTTTTCTCACAGCCTTTCAACTAAGTTGGGAGCTTCAGGAGTTGAGCAAGGTGGAAAATGAATTCAAGTCTGAGTATGAGGAACTTTCACAACAGTGCAAACAGTTTGCTAAGGACCTACTGGATCAGACAAGAAGCTCCAGAGAACTAGAAATCATTCTTAATTACCGAGATGATAATAGCCTCATAGAAGATCAAAGTGGAAATGATCTTGCAAGACTAAAATTGGCCATTAAGTACCGTCAAAAAGAGGTGAGTGTTGCCAGAATTTACCCATCAAAACACCATAATTTTAATCACAGTGCAGGAAAATGGTACTCCAAAATTAGATATGAGAATTCTATTTATTTATTTATTTATTTATTTATTTAATCTTTTCCATTATCATTTATCCCCTCTGTGTATGAGTATTTTCTATTTAACTGTTATGTGGATGATGTTTATTATTTGATTGATATTTATTTGTCAGATTGATAATTATGAACTACATTGAAGAGTGATAAATGATTTTGTAATTGGTGATGGTTTAGTATCTGTTAAATGAACATATTTTCTTTGGCATAATGCAAAAAATGAATAAATTTTAAAATTTTCAGACTGAGCTTTTTGGTTCTCTCATGTGTAATTCTTGTTACTTTAGGTTGTCATGCATCTTTCTCCAAGCTTCTGTTTTCTCATCTACTTAATGGACTTTATATTTATAACATTTGATTATACATGTGTTTATACATATAAAAGGTGTCTCTCACAGATTTATAGAAAGTGTAAAATGTTTGGATATATTTGAAGACTCTTAGTGAATTATAAGGTGTTATATTAATAAAATACATTATTAGAAGTTATTAATAAAGAAAAAGCCTTTGCCCCAAAAGCAGATAAAAGTACTAAAACCTTTCTCATGTTTGGCTTAGTTTCTTGATTGTTCAGCAATAAGAGGTTAAGAGGAAACTCCAAACTTTTTCCCACTGAGGCTGCACTAGTTCGCATTCCCAACAGCAGTGCACAAGGGTTCCCTTTTCTCGAGATCCTCACCAATACTTGTCATTTGTTGATTTGTTGAAGATAGCCATTCTAACAAGTGTGAGGTGGTACCTCGTTGTCATTTTGATTTGCATCTCTAGGATGATTAATGACTTTGAGCATTTTTTCATATGACTTTTGCCCTTTTGTATGTCCATTTGGGAGAAGTGTCTATTATGGTTCTTTGCCCTTTCTTTAATTAGATTGTTTATCTTCCTTTTGTTAAGTTGTATTAATTCCTTATAGATTTTGGAGGTCAGTAAATATTACTAAAGATTCACTTTGAGACTATTAGGTCAGGAAATTGCTTGAGCCACCATTGTCTCAAATAAACAATCGATGCATAGCTTTTGCCCTTGCCAAAGCTCAAGGTCCATCAGCCTTCTGGGTTCCTTGTTTACATTTTCCTGATAGTGCAGACAATGGATGGATAGCTTCCAGCATAGGAGTGATCAGGCAATCAGGCAGAAATGGTTAGAGACCATCAGGCAGGCAGGCAGAGGCAGTTAGGGGCAATCAGGCAGGCAGGCAGAGAGGTTAAGGGTGATCAGGCAGTCAGGCAGAGGTGGTTAGGGGCAATCAGGCAGGCAGGCAGAATGGTGAGGGGTGATCAGGCAGGCAGGCAGGAGGTGAGCAGTTAGGTGCCAGTGGTCCTGGATTGTGAGAGGGATGTCTGACTGTGGGATCAGGCCTAAACTGGCAGTCAGACATCCCCCGAGGGGTCCTGTATTGGAGAGGGTGCATGCCTGGCTGAGAGACCACCCCCCCCATGCATGAATTTTGTGCACCGGGCCTCCAGTATTAAAATAAAGAGTTGTCCAAGACAAAAAAAATTAATATTAATTTCTTATATATTAACTGAAAGGTTAACATGGTGATATGCGGACAGGCTAAATAGCCATCTCAGAAGGTGGATAAAAAAAATTAATTTATTTTGGAAAGGGGATGGAGGATGGGATATCCAAAGGGAAGAGATGCACATCACTGAGCGAAGGGGATATAGAGTCCATGATGGCAGCACCCAGGAGCTTGAGTTTTATCCTTATATGCAGTCACTAGCAGGAAGCTCTTGTCATTAGTGGGTCAGGGAGCTGAGTTTGTGGACTTGGAATTTGTATGGAATGCAGATATGTGATCAGGTCTTTAGAACAGTTTCAATTTCTTATATGGTCTGAGTCCTGGTGTCCAGCAAGTTTTTCCTGGTCTTTGTCCTCCTATGGCAGGGAATTTACAAATGGCTATTAAGGATTGTATTGCCATATAGTACTAGTAGTTCCCTACTCTTTCTATTTGTTAGTAATTATTCTTAAGGAATCTGGGTGAAGGTCTCTATCTTCTGTCAGTATTCCTAAGGAACAAGGCCTCCTGGTGCTGTTGGCAGGGATATATGAATAAACAATTCCCCACTTATCAGAAACCAACCAGCCAGTGGTTTAGTATGTCCATTATTATAAGGGAGGGTGAAATTATCAGAACAATTCATGTTTTAGTTATTAGATACTATAAGACAATAATTAGAACAACTGGTAAAAGTCAGACATTTGTCACAGGGAGCTACTGCAGCAATATTGAGAGAAAATATGCCTTCATCCTTTTTCTGGACAATGGGTCCCAATGCATAAAGGTTCTGGTATGTCACTTTCTTCCCAAAACGAATAAAATGAGTATAATTCTATATATTAGCAATAGGTGTCCCAACTCCTACTACACAGGATGTAAAGGTCTGTTCTACTTACGTTCCTCCTAAAAGGCAAAAGTCAGAGATATTAAGAACATTTTTTGCTAAGTTCACCCAAATATTTTTGTATCTTCTGAATGGAATGAATTCTTCAGCCAAACCAGCATTGGTCAAGAGCATGATTATAGTAAATTTTGTCTTCTAAAGATGACCTTGAGGTGTTTCTTGGGTTTGGTTACCCATTCTTCCCCTTCTGGCACCCGCTTCACCTGGTGTAATGGATCTAGGGCTTTATCCCTGACTGATTCAGAGCAGTTGGAATAGTGAGAAGCACATCTCAGGATCCCATCCATGTTGATTGTCTGGTGATCTGGTTTTCCATGTTTCGAGTAGAACTCTGTCGCCTGCTAAGAAGGAATGTAGCATACCTGTGACAGAAAAATCCCTAGCACATGCTAAATTATTAATAAAGTCACTATTTAATAAAGATGCCGCATATAATTCTTAATTTTAACATCATATCTACATATACATCTGTACCTTTAGCATCCTGAAAGGGCCTCCCATATATTATTTCATAGGTTCTCAAACCAATCCCACTTCAAGGAGCTACTCTAATCCTGAGCAGGAATATTGGCAACACCTGATTCTAATCCAGATGAGTCTCCTGACATAATTTGGCTATATTATTTTTTTAAGGCATGGTTAATTTTCCAGACCTTTCCTGAGGCCTAGATGATATCTCTAGGGACAGAAGGTCAGAACTCCTAACTGTATAACTAGCAATATGCTAGGGGAGGAGAGGCCACTCTCAGGGCAAGGTCCCTACAATTGTCCCTTGCTAGGCACCCATGACCTTCTGTACCTGGCCTATCATACTTGCTCAGCTCATATCTGTTTAACATTACCCCCCTCAAGGATTTTTGGGACTGAATTCTTTCATAGAAAAGGGGCATAGGATCTCTTCTGTAGTTGTTTCATGCTGAAAGGAAGTGATGTTTTCATTCTGAGACAAAAGATCCTTGCTCTCTGTCAGAGGGATGATGAGGCCTGGGCACAAAAAGAAGTTGTAATTGTGTATAGGGGTGGTATTTCCTGAATAAAAATAGGGTTTGTACCTCAGTGGAGAAAAATTGTTTTATAAATTTCAGTATCACTGGGGGAAAAGCTAGAATGACAATAATTATGATAAATAGTCTGATAAAAGGAAAAAGTACTGGTTGTTAATAATTACAAGTAAAGGATGATAAAAAATGAAATATTAGTTTGGATGGTTGTAGTCAAATATTTAAGAAAACTAGATAAAAATTTAGGATCTAGTTTAGCTCATAGGTGAAAAAATAAAACTTTGAAGATAATGAACTGGATTAGAGTCTAACATTTAAAACTATGTATATGGAGAATTTTCCCCCTAAAATTACTCTCATAAAGAGGCAAATTAAGACCAATTTATTTACTGTAGTAAGTCTAGTTTCAATTTGGCCTGATTGTTTGCATGAACATGATAAGAATAGCAATTGATCATATAGGCTTTTAAAAAAATCTGCTGTGCTGAAATTTCAAGATTGAGCCTTAATTAGCCCGTCAGGACAAATAATCTGAGTGACCTAGCTGCCATCAGGTTTTCCTGCAATACTTGTAGACTTGGGTGAATTCCTCAAGTTATTGAGGTCCCCAAAGATGTCGTGAGGTTCTTTCCTTGCCATCTCCCAGGAAAGCAACCTCATTCCTTACCTGGAAAGACTATCATGAACCATGTGACCAAACAAGATACCAGGCTTTCTCCAAGGGGCCCATATTGGCTTCATAATCAATCTTCACACTTTAAGACTTTTTGGTGACATCCCGAGACCAGGCACATCTCTCTCAGACATGACATTCCAGTCAAAGTCTTAGATAATTGGAAACTAGTCTTATTGAATTCATGCAAAGAACTATGTTGCCATAACTCACTCATTAAAAATTGCCAAATTTTGGAGGGATTAGTAGAAAGAAAAATAAAAAGGCTTTAATATTGCTTAAGAAGGTATAATTTACCAAATTTTTCTAGGGAAATAAAAACAATTTTTCTTATATTTGGAACACAGATTTTCATATAACTAATCTTTTGTTTGTCTTGATTACTTGCTAGTGTTTATCTTTTAAAGATATTTATATTTTTAATACATTTGTATTGATTTCAGAGAGGAAGGAAGAGGGAGACAGAGACAGAACCATCAATGATGAGAATCATCAATTGGCTGTCTCCTGCATGCCCCACACTGGGGATCCAGCCCACAATCCAGGCATGTGCCCTGACCGGAAATCAAATCATGACCTCCTGGTTTATAGGTTGATGTTCACTGACCCAGGCCGGTCAGGCAATTTGCTAGTATTTCATGTTTTCAATCATTCTTTTATTTCTTTATTGATTAAGGTATTATATATGTGTCTTTATCCCCCCATTATCCTCTCACTGCCCCCCACTCATGCCCTCACTCCCCTGGTGTCTGTGTCCATTGGTTAGGCTTATATGCATGTATACAAGTCCTTTGGCTGATCTCTCCCCATTACC